ATGGGTTCGGGAATGGAGCTGATCTTGGTTGAGGGACTGTAGGCTACTTCGGGAATCAGAAAAAATTACGGAATTTTTGAGGTTGTGAGGTCTAATAAATTTGAGTGAGAGAATCAATATCATCAGTGACATCTACTTTTGCTATTATGTCTTAAAGATGTTTGATTTCTTTTCAATAACTGTCGATCAACAAAATCGAATCGTTTCGTCACCACAAACGACTTTAATTCAATGTAAAGTTTAAATTCGCGAAGAAAATTTTAAACTTCTAGATGAAACACTAAATATCGTATCACCTTAAAATAAATGCCTTTTTCACTTAACAAAACTGTAGGTTTCAATAAAGCGTTGTAAATAAATGTGATTCATTGTGAGTGGGCTAACCAAGCCCGAGGTTGAGAGCCGAAGGGTTGAGTAATATCATAATATCATAAAGGGTTCACCCCAGACGGGTAAACCCTTCAATGTTAATTTGTTTGTTAATTTTTCTCCGCCTTTATTACTGACGTAATTATGTTTTTCTCGTTTTTTCATTAAGGCTTATTATTTTTAAGCTCTTTTTTTTTTGCTTTATGACAAGGAAAATTTATTTGAAATCTTTTGTTGTTGATTTTAAATTTCTAATTGAGTAAGGCTATGAAAATAATTGGTAATTATTATAACAGAGGTGATTTCGGTTCATTTCATTTATCTGGTTTTATAGTTTTTTTTAGTTTTAGAACGATGCCTATATAGGAAAAACAGGAGAGCAACTGGATGAAATCAAAATAGGCCAGTATTTATTTAGGCGTATTAGTACTAGTATTTAAATGATTATATTTTTGTTGGACAGGTTATACTCTCGACGTTGTCCGATTTTCACCAGGTCTGGTGATAGGATCCTAGGCAAAACAAAGGAAGTTCTATAAATTATAGGGGCGACTATGACTAATGCATTTGTTAATAAACCACTACAATTTTAGTGAAATCCGAAATGTAAGTAAACCTACTTTTAGCTCAATCTTGTTTACTCTTTTGACAAATAAGAGGTGCGACTTATCATATACTTGTGTTTATATAAATTTTAGGTCCCTACTCAAGAACTAAAACATAAATAAATAGTTCTATTAGTATCACTATAAGTACTTAACATTCCATTATAATCTTAGATTGAAGTAACAAGCAACATTACATTTTATTGATTAAATTGACAACTGACACACAAATGCATTAGCTATTTGTAATGCGTAGGAGTTGACAGCTATCATAAAATCGATGTTTATTGAAATAAGCTGTCAGGACGACAAACATAATGACATTTCAGTCGTGATGATATTATACAAAATCAATTTGTTTTGTTATTAGATATTAATGGAATGTATTGGTACCTAAATACTTCGAACTTTGGTTGGGAAGTTGCTTTTTTAATACAGAGAATTATCTGTAACTTTATAAATGTTTAAATGTCGACTAGGACAGTCAGATATAGATATTTATGCCTTGTTTACACTACACTAGTATTTTAGTCGAGTTGCGAGTATTTAGTAGTTCTCTTTTACTTGTGTTCGAAAATAAAAGCGAGCTATCTCGCTTTACCTATTTATTTAATAGCTCTATAGCTATTAAACACTCTTTACTCGGATGAATTACTAGCGCAGTTCAAACAAGGCATTAAGGAGCAAAATCTATTTAAATTTATTATTATCTATTACATTTAAGGCTGGTATTATTTAGTCCTGTCTTTCTGTGGAATCGTACCTCCTGATAAATTGATTTGAATGCGTTTTTTTAGTAAAAATGCTGCCTCTCGGTGGTTCTTAGCTATTTCACAAAAATCAAATCAGGAATTTAAGAGCTACAAGCACTTTGCTTTACATTTGAGTATTGAATGTGTTCTCCACCACACACATCACAAAAACAAAACACATTGTAAAATCGCGTGCATATTTTTATCAAAACACCCACTCTCACACACACACACACACATACACATATACACCTCAAAACATCCTTATTCTGCAACATTCACGTAACGTAACGCAAACCACGCGGGTTTGGGCGCACGCATGAATCATACCGCCCTTAACCGGATTACGACCCGCGGAATCTTGTTACCGCACCCTTTTCTACCCTGGCCCTGATGCCAAGCGACGGGAAATTTGTTTTACTATGTAGCTAATCGTTTTTATATAGTTCTGTGGCTGTGGGTCAGGTTTGTGGGGCTATTTTAAGATCGATTGTATGTCTAAACTGATGGTATTATGGTTTATATTGAAAAATTACCTAGAAGTTATTACACTTTGGCTATGCTCCCTTACTCAGTTCATGCCTCCTTTTGCGTTTTTCCATTGTTGTTATAAGCTTACAAACTGAATTTTATTATCAGACTATCCGATGTTCTTAAAATACGAGTGTAGTCACTCGTGCGTGCACGCTAGTGCGTACATAATCATTTCAGCTTCAACAAAGACCGGAGAAAGCTAGACAATAATCGAAATCGTTTAATCTATTAATGTACAATAATGAATGCTCAATACAAAAACCCGAGTACTTCGTGCACAAGTAAATGACTAAACCTTAGCTTGCCTTTAAACTCAAATTGTAGGGGGAACAAAAGTCACTAACAATCTTAAACTACGACCAAGTTACTCCCCAGCAATTGCTACATAATTTGCGGTCACGTGAGGCGGCCATTACGCTGTCGGCCGACCAATGAGAGCGCGCTATTTAATACGTTTCCATATTTGAAAAGAATTTATGAATGTTATTTTTAATTCAGAATAGGGCTGTTAGATATAGTACGTATCTACTTATTGCAATGAATTTATCGCATTGTGTGTGTCGCTTGGTGCTTGAATGCCGTAAAAAAGTGTTAAAAACTTGACAGGGTAGAATTTAATGCACACTTAATTAAAGGTCAGTAAAAGGCTTGTAATTTATAGAAAAGAAAGCGACAAATAAATGGCTTAAAATGTTATTCAGTAACAACACATTATTCGCACCAAAACTCCTATTTTTTGCGAATGCCAGTGAGTCAATTTGATTTAATGTTTTAAATTAAACTCATGTTTTATGATAAACGCTTAGCTTATTTACGGTCTAGTAAATAGACGGAGCGATTACCTCAAAATTGTCGAAGTAAATGAACATAAATACGCTATTACATTGATTGTACCATAATGTGGATATGACATTGAAAACAATATAGTTATAAACAACATGATCTCATCTCACGGATCATTTAATGCAAATCGATCTATTACGGAAAACACAGGCTATTACCGACCATCCGACCAATAGCAACGCACCATTTAAATAGTAATTTATTGAGTTTCGAATTTTAAAAACGTGATTACGTCCGCCATCTTGGATGTAATTTTGAAAAGAGAACGTGCAACAGCTACTTTGAAACGATTTGTAACGATTACCGCTTCCTTTTTTTAAAAGTATGATAACTTGCGGTTTTTGTATGGTCGGTCTTTTAAACCGAGTTTCCATGAATGTTCGGGAACGTGTAATTTTATGTGTATAATGGTCGGGAGGGTTTGATTACGCGATGTAATCAAATCTTAATATTAGAATACATAGTCGGAACTATGACTGGGTATATTAATGTGAATATTATTTATTCATAACATTTTTTTCATAATCTGTATTGTTCGTTAGGATTAAATCGTGATTTCAATTACAAAGATAAGATGTAAATGTACATTTAAAATACGTAATCGGTGTAATTGCTTGATGGTTTCAACCTGATACAAAGATTACGTTAAATTTGAATAAAACTTATTACAACGACAGTTTAACCCAGTTCTTGGGTTTGTTCTTAATAAATGTTGAATCATAAAAACCATTCAATGGATGTAATGATACGGTTTTGAAATTACAGCATCGCATTCATTTGTTTTTATGGTTTGATTATGGAAGCAAAATTGTTCGAGGATTAAATTAGTTCGTATCCAAGTATTTTTAATCTTAGATTTTTTATTGTATGTTTTGAGATTTTATCCGTAAATTAGATTTAGGTAGATACATTATGTTAAAGTTAGTTACAAAAGCTTTATGTTAGAATCAATACATTGTCGATACAGAGTAATTTCTGTATTTGTCCAACAAATGATTAAAACTTTATTGATTTTTCCTTAAACACAAAATAAAAATAGGTAATTGATAAGTATCAACAAAGTCTAATAAAAGCCTAATAATATCCTAAGATGGCAAATAAATGTTCCGAATTCAAAAAAAAGAAGTATCTCAATTTGACCTACATGTATGTGTGTTTATGCGCGATTATCTCGCGATCGGCTGAACCGATTTCGACGTCATTTTCAGAAAAGTGTTTGTTACACTTAGAATATTTTTTTTTTATAATACCTCGTACTTTATTTACATTAATAAGAAACTATTTACAACTTAAAATACCCAGAAGTTTAATAAAGAAAACTAAAAATAATTATTTCCACAGAGCATCAAAAAATTCGTCCACATCGATGTCAATAGGGAAGGTTGTTGTAGACTTGGAGAAAGCTTTAGTATATTAATTAACTGATTTAAAAAGAGGGGTTAAAACCTAAAGTCGATTTTTGTAAACATTGTTTATGAAATAATTATTTTTCTTTCTCTCTTAAAAACCGTTCGTAAAAATGAAAGAAATTTTCATCATCATCATCAACAGCCTATAAATGCCCACTGCTGAGCAAAGCCTCTTCTCACACGGAGAAGGTTAGAGCATTAATCACCACGCTTGCTCGGGTTGGCGATTTCAAACTAATAATTAGAAATTATAAGTCCAGGTTTCCTCACGATGTTTTCCCTTCACCGTTTGTCAGTGGTGTCTAAATATTCTTAGAAAGTACATATAACTCGGAAAAAGTCACATTGGTACTTGCCGTTGGTAGGTTTCGAACCCGCACCCTCATGCATGAGAAGTGGGCGTCTTAAACCTCCGGGCCACCACGACACACAAAGAAATATTATCTCTTATAAATTTTAAAATTAATCTTACCAATGTATCTTTACAGCATCATTCCCAATCACAAGGCGTATTGGACATCCATATCAGAACCGAACACCACCGAAACGTAAGAAGCCAAGAACCTCTTTTACCCGACTGCAGATAGCGGAGTTAGAGAAACGGTTCCACAAACAGAAATATTTGGCGTCAGCAGAGAGAGCATCTTTAGCGAAGACCTTGAAGATGACTGATGCGCAAGTGAAGACCTGGTTCCAGAATCGCAGGACCAAGTGGAGGTGAGTCTTTTAGTGTTTTGTTTAGGATATTTTTTTAATTGAAAGGTTTTGTCAAGTCAAGTCAAAGCATTTATTTCAATTAAACCATAGTTTGGTACTTTTGAAACGTCAACAAATACAAAATAAATAATAGTCTGTCAGTCAGTCCGTCAGTGAAACTAGGTGAAGCTAGGTGCTCATTCCAAAAAGTAGATTCGAATGGAGAAGAACGCGAAAGAAACTCCATTCGTTACTCTTTTTAAAAAAGTATGTTCTACAATGTCTCTGATACATATCTGAATTGTCTCTTTTGTCTCTTGGAAACCATACAACCCAGTGTTAAAAAAATCTATTCATAGGTATAATTAAATCGTAGGAAAGTGAAAACTGGACATTGAATATTTTTTAAAATGATGCTTGGAGCGTGATATACACACGATATTGAAGCCAAAAATATGGTTTATAGTATTTTTGTCTGTTTGTCTGTTTGTCTGTATGTGTGTCCGGGCTAAACTCAAAAAGTACTATACAGTTTCACTTCAAATTTTGTTTCAATATTACTAACAAGTCGGGTTAACATATAGACTACATATTATCACGCTATCACCTACTGGAGAAGAGCTGTGAATCATTATTCCATGCGGACGAAGAACTGATTACCTAATATTGTTTAGTCTTAACGGAGGTTCGGGATTTTCTAGGTGAACTTCACATCTGTCTTACTTATATACAAAGTTAATCCAGTACTTTTATACAAATTAACAGTAATTGCAAAAAGAATTAGTTTTCCGACTCACAGCTGCCGTTTGTAGTGCCTAGTTTATTTTAATTTTGATAATTATATTGAACCGTTTATTTTTACTTTAAATAAAAATAAATAGGTATTAAAGCCACCAAGAATACCAAGCGGTCACCGGTGACCGCAACCTATTGTTCTTTAATTGTGTCTATAATGACAGTACTCAAAGAGTTAATATAACTTTAACCTTAGGTAGGATCTTAAAGACCGCCCTTATTCCAATTGTTAGATAATGTATTTCTTTAATTTTTTTTTGATTATATGACAATTTATTCACCAAAATTCAATCGTCATATATTTTATGTTTCTACATTCACCCCTTTCAGAAACAAACGGAGATAAATACTGTTATGGTAAAAGGATAAAGTTAAACCATTATTTTATCATTACTAAAAATACTCCATCACTTAAAAGCCTCAACAGTAACTATTATAGAAATGGCGTCAACATTCTTACTTCTCAAACCTCATTAAGATACTACATACATTACACCATGTTCAAAAGACCAATCATTTTGACCTCTGACTTCCTACAAACCCGTTCTATACGGAGATCTGTTTAAACTGGAAGATTATGAGCTGTAATATTAAAGGTAAAAACGTTAAGTATCATGATAGGATCAGTCGATAATTGGTTTTAATTACATGTTGTAAAATGTTATGGCGTTTAGTATTTGAATTCTAAACAGTGTTAATGTAACAGCTACTTGTCTAGGTAATATTAGGTAGATAAAGTTATTATAAAAACTAAAGTATAATAACTATCGTGAGGCATAGGTACTAAATTAACTTAAAATTGCGGGTTACTCACGTGAATATACTGAGAAAAGCTCTACTAGTTTCGAGCCACAGAGGGGCTCTAACTCATGACCAGCGTACGCGGTCGCCATGATGTCGCGCAGCCTACTGAATATATGCTTTTTTAAAATCCGAATATTTTTTTTAATGTTTAAATCTCACCCCCTATTACACGGGACTAGGTAAATAGTGTAAAGTGAGTGTTACATTGTACAGTGGCATTAAATTCCGAGATGTACACCTCTGTATACCCCTTCGGGTATAAAAAGGCGTTATGTTATGTTAAATCTACATTATAAGACATATGTGTTTATATTATTTATTTATCCTGAAATTCCTGTACAGTTAAATAAATTGTACATCAATGGAAATCGGGTGATTTTTTTAAGTATTTAAATTAGTTTCTTAGTTTCTGATATCTAATAGAGCTGACCCAAAGGTTAACAGAATACAAAACTAACAAATTACATCGATTTTAAACAGTCGGAACAAACTTAACAACGTCATATCAACCTAATAATCGTTTTGTAATCTATTCGTAATCGGTTTACAAGTAGACAACAAGTTTAACGATTATTTTAATCAATTCTAATGTTACCATCTTACATCGAAATTATCTATTAACATAAATTAATTAAAATCGTTCAATCAATAGTACACGTGTTTTGAAAATGCTTTTAGCTGGCAACACCATGATTTTCTTATTTATTATTTATTGCAACATTAAGTGGTGTGGCCATCTTTTAACTTTAAGTGGCGTTTTGCCCTGCTTAGATAAGTAATGGCAACATTTTTCTTTCACTAATTAAGTAGTGGTTAAGTTGTTGATTTATATTTATTTGTAGGTATATGTAGCTCGTGGCTTTGCTCGTTTGGCCAATGACCTCGTAACTATATCTTTACACAAAAATCTTAGTGTAAAATAGGTAGATCTGTGGTGATGTGAAAAAAACACACAGATTCTGTGTGCATTATTTTACTTGCAAGTGTTATTGCTTAATCGGCCTATTAAAGTAACGTAATTTCACAGATTCTTAAACTAGTCCCCGGATGTGTTCTTTGATTTAATTTTGTGACACAATTTCTTTTGTAAGAGTCTGTATTGCTACCCAAACTTGCGTGTGCCTTAACAATTATTAACCACATTGAAAAAAATTACAATTACCTATTACTAAGGCTATAGTTTAAAGTTTTATATTTGAATCTCGGTTAAGTATACACCATGAAGTCTATTCCATAAGGACTACTTTCGATGTAGTTATAAAGTGAAAACAAAAAAATAAATATGTCATTTTTTTACTTTAAACTGTCAAACACCAAGCGGTCACCGGTGACCGCGACCTATTGTTCTTTAATTGTGTCTATAAAACCGGTACTCGACGAGTTAAATAATTATTTATTGAAATACGCACATGAAACATTAGACATAAATCTGTAGGCACTATTCGCATTGCACGTGCCATCCGACGAGAAATACCTATTCGAGAATTACATAGCGTGATATTTTGACAAAGTACTGTGAGTTCGTATGCGGTTTTAAAGTTAGCTTTCTGTAATGCTTCACATGTATTTTTTTTTTGTTTTAAATATTTTATTTCTTTGTAAAACTATTGTATTAGAAGACACATTTTACTTCGGAATGAAAACGAAATGGATTTCACGGTGTATTTTCCCGCAAATTCATCATTCAATTATGTGTTGAATAATGATAAATTCGTACCACAGATATTCATGCACTATTTCCTATAGTTTTAATATAGTCTAGAAAATAGATTCATGTTTAACCACAGTATGTATAAGATAATACCGCAAGTGATATTAATACATTACTATTTACCGTTTCCGAGGTTTACAGCTTAAGTCTCGATTCGAAATTGTGTTAATAGAATCAAGTGGTTCAAATTCTATTGTGTTACATACTATTTATATTTAATTTGAAGAATATTTCGGTATATAAGGCACAGAACATGTAGTAGATACATGAACTACTTAAGTTGTATCTTCGAGCGAAAAGCCGGTCACCTAGGTGCTTACTCTTGAAACCAATCTCAATGTAATAAAATATCAATAATTATAGTACGTGAATACAATACAACCCCTCTTGTAGCTGTTGAAATATCATTCAGAGTACGTAATATAAAGCCAAACTCAACACCATTTAGTTCATTAAATATCTTTGCGATACGGATGCAATGGGCGCTAGTGTTGCAACTCAATAGTAGGAAATTTCACAATATAAATGTTGATCGATCGGAATTGGATTCAAAAATAAGTGCCTGGTTATATTCTTAAAAGCAAAACTAGGTACTCTTATCATTTTTGTCTTAACAACAAGAATAGAATTAAAAACTATGTCAGGAAAGTTAGACGCCCACTGTCCAGTCTGTAAAAACTTATGCAAAAGAACGGACAAGACATTCCATGGTTACCTAATCTTTCAAACAGTTTTATTTTATTTTTCCATTTAAATGATAATCCTAACCCAGTTTTAAAAATATACAAAAGGTCTTTACTATAAATCGAACGTTCTTTATCCTAATCTTTTAAATGAGTCTTTTATTTCAAATGTCTCAGAAATACGGTATTTCAAAGTGCGGCTGTACCCAAAATTCCTTTGCCCAGTTTACATCGTATTGTTATGTTCGTATTTTAAAACACGCGTCTTTATGGCTTCGTTCAAATATTTTAGAACGCCGAGTTCCTTTTTCAAATTGGAACGAACGTTATTTATTTGAATACATGTGTCATTGTAAGCCATTGTAAAATGTTTTACACTTTTACATTATGTAAACACGTCTTCAAAATAATTTATTGACGAATCAGATCGGGATTGTAAATTAAAATGCTTTTGACCATTAATTTACAAGTTGACAAGAAACTAGTTTACAAATCTTTTGAATAAACCCGTAAAGCGGACACTATAAATTAACTTAAAACGTTGCTCTTTAAACTTTATCATTATTTATGTTTAAAAGGCGGACTAAATAAGCCCGTCTGTTACTTCGTCAAAAACATTAGACGTTAAATTAATCAAGTAGACTGGATACAAATCCTATCAACATTAGTCCTAGCCACGTCGCCCCTCGTTAGCAGATAACCCGACTTTTAATAATACACAACAGAACAAAAACAAGGAGCCACAGATAAGAGACCATTAACTTAGCCGGTTAATACAAAGAGACGTCGGCTAAATTGACCGAATCCGAATACTAATGTCCTTTGTACCACAGATTTTGAAATAGGAATGGTTGAAGCCATTTTCTTTGGCGCCATCTTTACCGTTGGGATCAAAAGGTACGTTGACGTTTTCCAACACAGCCTTGTAAAAGGATTTTTTTCAAAATTATTAAGATCGCAAGATTGTGGTGTTATTTATAATCGACTTTTATTTATATTTTTGTTGATATGCGTTATCAAGATAGAAT